ACCTTTCATACCACTTTGATGGACAAAATTACCTTCACATTTGAAGGACCATCTAAGAACCCATAATGTATATCCTTTTAATTACCACAATGATGACCATTAACATTTTACCACACTCATATTTATACATTCAACCACTTGCCATTTTTCAGACATATTATGCACTGCTACCACATTCACATAAGAGAATGGAGAAAATTAATTGGGCAAATTTCATGGCTTTTAGTCAAAAGTATATAACTTTATGTTAGTCATCATCATATCATCACTATAGTGCATTAAGATGTAAACCCAATGTCTTACCCATATAAAGATACCTTTGGTCATAAATCAATGGGACTTGAACCCAACTTCTTATTATCATGGTGCACCGAGACTTTACTCGATGTCTTACTCCCTTGGTGCGGTGAAACTTGAATTCACCGTCTTACCCTCAATCAATGTCTTAATAAACCAAATGCATTACCAAAAAATAAATATTGAATACCATAAATATAATCTGATTTGACTTAAAATTGAGTAAAAATGAAACAAAACTAATTAATTAGAACAACATAGTTAGGAACCATAATAAAATCTCAAGTTAAAATAAATTAAAACATTTTAATAGTCCCTCTCAATATTGTAATGAAGATTATCATAATTTACTAACCATTTTAAAAAAACCACAAAACAAGCTTTGTTAGTACAAATAATATATAGGATATGAAGTATATAGTGCAACCGAAAAGTTACTAGGATAATTCATAAAAATCAAGAAATACCTACCATTGATTCTTGACGGAGAATGAGCAATTCGTGCCGATAACGTGTTGTAAAACTAAAGCAAAATAAGACAGGAAATATAGAAGATGAAAACAATAGAAATAGGGAGACAAGAAATGAGAGCTTTTCTTATTATTCCAAGTCTTATGCCTCTATTTATAGTGTAATATAGAGGCATACAAAAGGTTAATCATAAACATGACATTAACATGAATATTATGGGGAGGTTATGGAAGTGAAAGGTTACAAGAATAATAGTTATAAAAGTGGAGGTTATGGAGGTTATGGTTATCTTCATAATGGAGGAAAGTAATGGAGTAACTTCTTGATGTAGTGGACATCCACAATATATTTTTTTATAACAGGAACATAGGGAGTATTGTTTATTTTGGCTCAACAAATTTTATGAATTTTATTATTTAAAATTAATGGTTGAACTAGGAATTCTAACAAGGAGCATGGAAAAATTAACAAGATATAATTTTTATTTGGGAAAATGCATAAGAACCCCCCCTAACCTATGCCCAAAATCTCAGAGATGCACTTATACTATACTAAAGTCCTATTACCCCCGAACTTATTTTTATAAATAATTTTTCTACCCCTTTTTCGGCCTATGTGGCACTATCTTGTGGGCCCAACGTGTGTTGACAATTTTTTCAAGCTATCTGGTTGATAGTGCTGACCCATTTTTTTATGGGCCAAAATATGGTCAGCCCAACTCACAAGTACGTGGGTTACGGGTTGTGCCGGGTCAACCCACTTTTTTAAAAGTATATTTTTATAATTTTTTAAAATCAAATTATAATTTAAAAATATTATCATAAATATCAACAAGACAATATTACATGGTGTTAGTGTTATTACTTGTTAATCAAATCCACAAATAAAATTATCTTTATAATATTTATTAAGTTTGATTTCAAGTGAAAATATAAATATATAAATAGAAATATTAACCTAATTGTTTTTCAATAATCATAATAAAACACAAACAATATTTCATAGGTTATGGCCTATGTAGCGATTCACTAGAATTTATAGAGAATTTTTATTTTATGAAGTACATAATTTATAAACATAATTTGAATTTAAATAAAACTTTAAATAGATTTTGAGTTTGGACTCTTGCTATTTTTAATACTCTATTTTATTTTTAGTTTTTAATTAATTTTTGTTTGACCCACGGCCCGGCCCTACCCATATTTTTCAAGCCTCACAAATCAGCAGATTTACCAAATCGTGCTAAAAAGCTCTTTCGTAAATGTGTTCCAAAAATCTTAGCTCAGCTCTATTAAATCACGGACTAGACCAGATCGGCCAACAAGCCTAACCCATATTGATTCCTACTCTCTTCCATAAATAAAAACTTTACTCAAATATCTTTATTTTTTGTATTGTTTTTGGTAAATAGAGAGACATTTTTATACATACTAAACAATTATTTTATTCGCATGCATGGTATTAATATTTTCGAACTTAATTAGATTATTACAAATCAAAGAGGAGATTATTTTATACTATAATTTCTTGCTTTATTTGCTAGTAGACGAAAAACATAATGACAGACTGATAGTGATGAAGTATCAGTTTTCTTTTCATCACATTTTATTTTGTTCGTATTATACTAAAAATAATTTTACTGATAAAATTTTAAAAAGATATTCATATCTTACATCCGATCCATGACTAGAGATATGAGAAATGATAGTCAAAATCTCTTAAATTATTTCGTTTCAATGACAAATTTAATTATTTTTTATAGTAACTTAGTGAATAAAAGGTATATATCTATTATCTACAACGATTAATTGAGCATAAATTTAGACAATTTCACAAGATTCAAGAACAAGTTTGGACATTTTCTCAATAAAAATAACTTGAGAGGTCTTAGTACACAACTTTATAACCTATGAGGAGAAAAGTGTAATTCCATCAAACTAGATGTGAGTCTTATGTAAATACCTAAGAAAATGAAATTCATCCTCCTAATTCCATCGAAATAGCCTAAACCCCTCAAAAACCTCTTCAAATTTTCAGTTAGAGTCCTGTTCATGGCGGCATTTCTTCGAGCATCTCGTAGATCACTTTTCTCGTCTTGTGGCATTCTATATTCTCACGGCCAACAATCCTCTCTCCATTCCAGCAAGCACATTTTCCAATTTTCCAGAAGTCACGCATCGCAGGCAATCCAAAAATCTCCGTTCGAATCAAACATACTCAGAATACTTCGCAATGAAATCGAGTATCAGTTGGATTACGCCCCTCCTCACCCGGTAAATTTTCAACGAACCTACTTTTAGTCGCGCAATTTATCTAATTTGGGAAGACAATGAATTTCCCCTTTTTTACTTTATTTTCAATCACGGAGTTATGACTGCTCTGCGTTTACTGATTTTATTGTTTTTTTCTCTTCTGGAAATTGAGGCTGAGTATTTTAATTTTGGGGTTTCCTAGTTATGTTGCAATATTTTTGGGAACATTCACATTACTTTTAAGTTTGGTTGGAGATTGTAGGAGAGTGTGGAGATAAGTGTGAAATTTAAAGGATTTTTAACTTGTCCTAAGGCAAATTATTGAGTAAATGAATAGTGTTGAGGCCTTTGTTATTGTTATTGTTATTGTTATTAATGGTATTGGTCCAAATGGAGCGAAATGGATATGAAGGATTCAGTAAAGCTGACTCGGACGTAAATGCAACTACTGGTATAGAACAACCAACTTTTTTTTTTTATATTTCACCATTGCATATTCATTATCAAGTACCAGAAAAGGTCAGATTGTGTGGTACACTTGATAGGGTCAACCAAGCTGGTTTTTTATGGCTTACGCCCAATTTGAAACTCTACTTGGCCCGACTTGAACTTTATTTGGTGGTCTTGTCATGAAGCTGTTGAATTAATTCCTGCTACCTATCAAGCTAGTTTGGTTTGCTTCAACCCCTAATGTCATGAGGTGGTTAAGATGAGCTAAGCATCCAAGGGTGTGACCTAGTGGTCAATGAAGTGGTTGAGAACCCTAAGGTTTCAGGTTCAAAACTCAGTGGAGACAAAAAAATACTAGGTGATTCTTTCCATGTCATATCCTTGGTGGACAGAGTTACGTGGTACCTATTGCAGGTGGGAGGTGGCAGGTATCCCGTGGAATTAGTTGAGGTGCGTGAAAGCTGGTCCGGACACCACGGTTATCAAAAAAAAAGATGAGCTAGTGACGTGCAAATCTTTAGGGGCTGGTGAAGAATATATAGGCAAATGAAATACTGAATACACATTATATTTTTTTATTTTTGTGGATATCATGGGAGAGAAACCCTCGAGAGTGGTTCAAAAGGTAATGATTCTCTGAATCTCTCTTTCTATTTGAAACCCTATGCCTGAAGCTATAATCTTAAGTTTATGCCATTGGACATTTTGGAGGCCAATAGAACGTAAGTGAGGCTGTATGATCAATTCAGGGACTAGTCACCTGTATATACTTTCTTTCGAATTAAGCCAATTGGTTTTCAAATGAACTTATCATTTGGTCGCTAAAGGTAGCTTTATCTTTAGACTGGTGTGCGATTGGTTCTGTATGCTTGTCTATTTATGTGTTTGATTGTCTTCAGGCATGTGCATATCTTTGATGTGTCTATGCTGTTTCATTCATCCACGTGCTTGGATATATGTCATTACAATGCAGATATAGTTCACTATCCTTGTTAGGAGAAATAAATTCTTATAACTGACAAATGTTTTTATGGTGTGGCTGTCGACTCGTTTAGTTGAATTGTTTACTACGAAAGGTGGACAGTTCTTTCAGCATCAATTGACTGCAAATTCAATTTTTCCATCCTTTGGTTTATTCTATCCAAAGAGAAAGGATATATTCCTTGTCGACGAATTTTCTTTTGTTATTCTGCAGTGCTTATTTATGCTATAAAAATCTCTACTAGCTTACCTGTCTTTCTGCATTTTGGCAAGGAAACTGTAAGATAGCTCTGTTATTTCTCTTAAGCCCTTTCTAATGTTCAATTCAATGGTGATATTTGCATCCGTATTGTTTCTCACGTTCTATGGTGGCTCTCTCCAGCCTGTTTCAAAGTTCAATACATTTATGGTGGAAGATCGGCCAGGAGAGCAGTGGGTTACTTTGAGAAGAAAATTTGGTGAGGATGAACATATCAAAATCGAGGCAACGATGATTGATGGAGCAATTAATGTTCCAAAAGCAAATGATGAGAATTTAGGGGAGGATGTGCGGCTTCACATAAGTGTGCTAGTTGACATATGGAAGGGTGAAGGTAGTGAGTTCTTGGAGTTCGTCTGTTCATCCTGGCCAAATTCCTTGGAAATTCAGAAAGTTTACTTACTCAGAAGCGACAGTTCTCGAGCTCAACCTTATATGGGCCCCAATGTTAAGTATGAGACATCTTCTTACTTTATTATATTGTGTATGCATTATACTTACACTGATCTATTTCACCAATTTAAAGAGTAAAATCCCCAAAATAAGAGAAAAGAAAAGGAGCTGAATTTCTTTCTTATTTCTCATTAAAGTTCTTTTTTTATTAAGTTTCTGCGGGCAGGGCCTTAAACATGATCCCTTTCATGTTTGAGGATGGTGATCAACTATCGTAAATCAGATCATCCTGATAGCACGCTATACTCTTCTTTAGAGAATAAAATAAAAGGAGTCGCAAGTTTTCTCTGGATATTGTCTACCTATTCATTCTGACATACTGTGTATGTTCATTATTTTGTTGCAGTTTCTTATGCTTGCTCCTGACTTTTTGATACTTCTTTGTGTTTTTTCTATCAGGGATTTGAACAGTGGCTTCCGAGATGGCCTAAACGAATTCCTAAAGGCAAGAGGGGTAGATGATGAACTTTCTGCATTCCTTCATGAATTTATGATGAATAAGGATAGAATTGAAGCAATTGGATGGTTGAGAAAAATCCAGTCTTTTATTGAAAATTAGAGGCACGTCTCTGCTCTCTCAATTTCTCTGTAAAATTGATCTATTATAACTTATGCTTAGCTTTGCTATGATTTTTTGCATGAGGTTTCTACTCTTCTTCTTACCTCTGTGTTTACCTACGCATCAATCCGAAAACTGGTTGATTCGTAGATGTTAAACGACGACATCATAAATATTGTTTCTCAAGTCATTAGGTACTTTGCAACCTTAAGTTGATGGACTTTCTCAGAGGTGAAAAATCTACTGACTCGGTAACTCTGATGGAAACCAAATTTGATATATTTTTTGCTTCAATTTGGGAATCAGAAGAGTGGCTGCAAACTAAATGGAATCAGACTTACCAACAAGGGTTGTGGTGGAGTGGTAAATACTCCTTCATCCTTAACCAAGAGGTCTCGGGTTCGAGCCTCCTTGGGTACGGAGTCGCCTTTGTTAGGGAGCGCTTTACCCCTCAATGGGACTTCCCGGTGCGAATCTGTTGAAGTAGGGATGGCAATGTGGTGGGGCAGGGCAGGCTTAGACATATGCGGGGTGGGGCGGGTTTAGGCATATGCGGGTTAAAACTAAATTTTCTAAGTTCAAAGCGGGTGCGGGGTAGTTGCGGGTTTGAAAAAACCCAATTCATTTATCTTTTTTGAGTTCTCATTTCTGTGTCTTTCTTGAGTCCTAGAAAAGAAAACTTACTAATTAATCAACATTATCCCAACATTTTTATGATTTGAGTCTAAACCTATTAATTATTTATGCCAAATATGACTTGATTAATCCAAAATCTAAAGTTGGTAGAGGTAATAAATAGAATTAAAATGGGTGATATTATTTAAGAGATTAAATGAGCAGTTAAAATAATGTCATTAATTTTTATTTTTTTAAGTTTATAAAGGACCATATACATTCAGTGATTTTATTCAAGGTCACTTGAATAAATTAGTAGTAGTTGAAATTTTCTACAGTTAATAACATTATACGAGGCTAATAACATAAGCATTGTAATTTGTAACTCAATATTATGTATTTTAGTTAGTTAACGAAATGAAGAAAAAAAATCTTACGTTGGGCGGGGTAGGGCGGGTCTATAATTTAAAAAATGGGTTGAATTTTTTGCGGGTTAAGCTCAACCAGCTCCGCCCCCTCCCCATTGCCATCCCTACATTGAAATTTTCAAAGTGGAGTGAGTAGCTCTTTCATTTGGATTTTGGAGTACTTGCTCTTCAGCTTCATTGCAAAACAATTTTCTTGCAAGAATATTAAAGGAGTAATCGGCTTGTAAGTTCACGCAGTCATAGGCATAGGCCTTTTTATGTACTGAGTATATATTTGACCGTTTGGTAATGAAATCATTTAGTTACCAAAAAAATAATAATCTTTGTTTCTAAATATAAACTCGATCCATGTATTTTATCTATCCATCTGGTTTTACGAGTATGTGAACTGTCAAATGTCTAATTTATAATCAGGAGGTCTGATTCACCTTAGAGATGAGCCAATTCTCAATATGTTACTGGCACAACTTTTCTGTTCAGTGCTTATAGTGATTAATTATCTAGCAAAGTACAAGCAAACGGTCAGCTGTGGTAATCAAAAGTTCAATTCAGCTGATCTCATGGACTTTGCCAAGCAACAGGTAGTGAATTTGTTCATATTAGCAGTGGCGGAGGGAGGATTTTCATCAAGGGGGTTCAAAAAATATTAATCACGTAAATAATATCCACAAATAAACGGGTCGAATCAGATATAAACGGGTCGGATAAAACGGTCGAATCAAGAAGAAATGGATTTTTTAATATTTGACTTTATAATTAGGGATTAAACTAATAAATCCTAAATTCCCAATCAGCGTTTTAATTTTTTAGAACTAAACATCATTTTCTGATTGCATTATTATTTATTTTGAAAAAATAAAACGCCTGAAATAAGCTGATAAACAAAATGCCTCTGCCCGGATTCAAACACGCGACCTCACGTGCAGTAGAGCAAATTCCTGAACCCCCAACGCCACTGAGCTACGCCTTTGGTGTATGTTCAGGGGTTCAATAGTATATATATACACATATATTCAAAATTTAATCTTATATATATAGTGTAATTTTTCGACGAAGGGGGTTCGGATGAACCCCCTTCATTGAACGTAGATCCGCCCCTGCATATTAGTAGCACTTTTTTGATGCATCTCTCTATTTACTTAGCTGTTTCAATCAAAAAATGTAGATGGACTATCTCTAGGGCAATCAATTTCCATTTTTTTCCAGGGAAGAGCACATAAATAAGAGGAGTGACGCTGATGAATTTATATTAACGTTTGTACTGGAGATGATCACAATGGGAGGCTTCAAGCTTAGAGTTCGAGCATGACTATAAAATTCTCACGAGTCAAGATAACATTCCCCAAAACCAATAGTACTTGACAGGTAAAACATTGTTTCTAAATTGGTGACAAAAGAAAGGGCACAAATATGGAAAAACACAACAGATGAGTCATATTAATAAGGAAACCATAGATTTCTAACCTAGCAATTCAATCATACTAACAAACTCAACTTTGCAACACAGATATAACAACTCACCTTTCTTTATAAAGAATGTTGATCAACTACACAACTTTTTTTATTATTAAACTAAGGGGCGGTACGTGAGATCATCTTCGTCACACGTTGCCTACAGACCCCAAAAGAAATCCTAAAGAGGGATCAAACCCATACATACTTCTCTATATATATACAAATCAATTTTTATTATGTATCTATCTATTGTCAGTACCCAGTACCCTTCCACAAGGTTCATTCTCTACTTCCTTCAGATCTGGGGACTGCCGATCTTGAATGTTATCTTCTGGATTGGTTTGTGTAGAAGGGGCTTCGGATCCAGCAATTGCCTCGAGAAATTATGATTGCCGAACTTGAATGTTATCTTCTTGATTGGCTTGTCTAGAAGAGGATTCGGATCCAGCAATTTTTTGTGTAGAAGGTACATTGAATCAATTTTCTTCTTCCTTGTCTTTGTTGTGTTGGCTACTTTGGATGAACTCTGCATAAAAGTGTGGTTCAAGAGCATGTCTACAGTCCAACGCGTGTTGGGATTCCTCAAAAGACCTTTTTCCAGAAAATTTTGAGCATCATTTGACAGCTTCAAGTTCTAAAACTTTGGTTCCTCAAACTCGATTTAGTCCAACACATCGTCACCATCTGCGTCTTCCCACAGTGTGTCCCTGTAATCAGCTCATAGATAGTGCAGCCAAGAGCCCAAATATCAACTTGTGGGCTATACTCAGTGTTAATCACAGATTCAGGTGCCATATACCTTTATGTGGTCCATGCCCTGTTCCACGGTCACAAAGAGCCCGAAATAAGCAATCTTGGCAGTTTTATCCCGCCGTACAAGGAGAATATTTCCAAGTTTGATGTCACAGTGAATGATTCCTTTATTGTGTATACAGTTGAGCCCTAAAAGAACATTCTTCGTGTGTTTCTTAACTTCAGACTCCGACAGTGAATTGCAGTTCTGAAGACGATCAGCAAGGCTTCCTCCTGAAGCATACTCGAGCAATAAGTTGTAAAGATTGACGTTATCTTCAAAAGAGACATTAGCTCCGAAACAGTGAACAATGTAAGGTGAATGTTTGAACATTTGGAGGATTTCGACTTCTTCTTTCAACGATTGAGAAGCACCGTAGTTGCATGATTTGAGGGCGATGAGAGATGGAAGAGTAACACCACGAAATAGTGCGTTGGAGGTAGAAGCTAACGAGACAACACCGAATCCACCTTGACCAAGAGTTGTGCCTCTCTTCCACAATAATCCCGCCATTGGAAATTAAGAATTGAATGTGCAGTATGTTTGTAGTATATTATTATAACAATACATTAGATAGTAATTTATAGATGATATGTTTCCCTTCCCTATACCAAAATGGATTCTTACAGTTTCTTAAAAGATGAAAATCCTCCAGAAAAAAGACGATCACATCTATATTTCCCTTACCAAATTTCTATTTTAATTTGGTTTAAAGGTTTGTTTCCTATTTTTTCCTTCTATACTATTCTTCTCCTGTGTTTTCCTATTCCTTCAGGATTAATTTAATTCAATTTCGTTTTTATTTTCCCAAATAAAATTTAAATTTATTCTTTATTAAAAAAACCCATGTATGGGTATGTTAGATCCTTCTAGTGAAGTTCATGTTTTTTTTTTAAGTTCACGGGTATTTTTGATTCTTCTCACACGTGAATTATTTTTTCACTTCTTTGATTCAACGAATAATTTGAGTTTGAATATCTCCTTTAAAAATCTATTTGCTTATCATTATTTGAAGTTCTTATTCTTATTTTATTTTAGTGTGAAAATATCAGAAACAAAAAGAAAGAATTGTAAATGGGAAAAAAATTAAGACTAATTTCTTGAGATTATATTGTAAATCAAATTTGATAATACTAGCACTCACAGCTCTCTAATTGTAGTTACTCCTAGTAACAAATTTATTATCCATTTCCAGTCCACTTGATGAACCTAAACTTCTTAATTCCTTCATAAATAGTTTTTAATTTCTAAGAAACTTAACCAAACATGCAATAACGTTTAAAATAAACTATGATGAAATAAAATATGCCAATTTTTTCAGGCAGTTGAAGAGAGAAATTTCAAAAAAAAAACAAACAGGATTTTGCTAATATTCTTATAAAAATAAAGCAATTAGCAGATACATAAGTGAAAGGAATGACAGATTCTTCAATGGCTTTCTTCGAATCGCCACCATTTCATCATCAAACGTGACTCTATCTGGAAAAAATCTCTGTACATTTTATATGTCTGTGAGAGCATATCAAAATTCTTCGATTTAATAGACTGACCTGAGTGATCGGCTTAATTATCCAGAATGTCACTCAACTAATAGAAATTCTCTTATCGAATAGGCCAGGGAAACCAAAGCTAGTACTCTAAAAGCACTACACAGTGTGGTAGGAGGAGTGACCAAGTTCGAAAAAAGGTAAAACAGGATCGTCCACCGCGAGAGTGAATAATCAAACATGCTCTTCAGTCTTCATCATTGTACAAATCATGTCTAGAAAGAATCAAGAAGTTGAATGAAATATTTCAAAGCATGTTATTTATTCTTCACTGGATTTTTGTCACAAAGTCTTTTTGGTGGCAAAGACAAACTTTTACCTGATATCAAATTTTGGTGTCAACCTTACCACAGGACATTTATAGTACTAGAGATAATCAAACAAGCTCTTCATCATATATAGTGTCACTCTGGCTTTTACTGCTAACAAATTATATATGCATTACACATTCTGAAACTTTGATATGTAGTGCAAGTGCTACTGCAACCTTCTGCTTCATCAGCTCTTTTCACCTCACTGGAAGTTTGTTTCATTAGTGAGGAAAAAAAAGTTTATATCTGGTAAACAAAAATGATAGGAAAACCTGAATTCATAATGCTGGCAAACTTTTAATTTACTTGAAACACATTACATCGGTGGGAAAATCATGTTTTATAACACAAATTTCAAATTGATTCGAGGTGGAAAAAGCCTGTTTCTAGATAGATCACTGAAAGATAATTCTGAAATTTAAATGACATAAGGCAAAAGAGTAGTACACTTGACACTAATAGATAACTTAAAAGAGAGCTGTGCAATTATTTTACTGTGGCAAAACAGCGATAATAATTTCTTTATAAAGAATGTTGATCAACTATACAACTTTTTTTTTATTATTAAACTAATAAGGAGAAGCACGTGAGGTCATCTTCGTCACACGTTGCCTACATACCCCAAAAGAAATCCTAAAGAGGGATCAAGCCCACACGTACCTTTTTGCAAATCAATTTTTATCTATGGATCTATTTATTGTCACAGTTACGCACCAATTCAGGTTCCATATACCTCTTTGTTCCCCTGATCATCAGTTTCCGTTTTTCTTTCATGCCCTGTTCAAAAGTCATGGAGAGCCCAAAATCAGCAATCTTGGCAGTTTCGTCTAATATTGTCAGGTTTGATGTCGCAGTGAATAATTCTATTGCTGTGAATGCAACTGAGCCCTAAAAGAACATTCTTTGTTTGTTTTTTAACTTCAAACTCCAGCAGTGAATTAAAGTTCCGAAGATGATTGGCAAGGCTTCCTCCGGATGCATAGGCTTCCTCCGGATGCATACTCCAACAATAAGTTGTAAAGGTCGATTTCATCTTTGAAGGAGAGATAAGCTCCAAAACAGCGAATAATGCAAGGAGAGTGTTTGAACATACCGAGAAATTCCTCCTCTTCTTTCAACGATTGAGAAGCACTATAGTCCCAAAAAATAAAGGTGACATAAATTTGGACATTGATTCCTCAGTACTACATTCGTACTTCAAATCGATCACATAAAATTGGACACATATAAATTCAAAGAAAACCTAGATCAATCGATCAGCTAGCAATAACTATAAGTTTGTTGAATGTAGATTTGGTTTAGACAGAGCAAAATATTTCATTTAGAGGGGACTGTATAAACTTTTGTAACAAGTGATAAAGCTTATAATAACAGTTTCTTTGTCAAAATTAGAAATTGAACACTAAAGTTGGACAAATAGAATTTACGTAAACTATAAGAAACATCAAACAGAAAGGACTAAGAAGCACTGAAGCAGGCACAAAACTCCTGATAGTGTTTTAAAAACTGAACCTGGCTAGTTAGTTTTGTCCACAAAATTAGCTGAAACTGTCCAATTCTTCAGAGCAGCATATCTTGTAAATGCGCGTTAGACTGCCAAGATTGTTGGTCCAACAATAATGTACTCTTACTTGCCCTAATTGCATCCGATATATTCTTCAAAGGCTCATGATCTAACAAGGCTTCTGTAAGGTCAGCAACAAAGCTGGATTCTTCTGTTTCACAAAGTGTCTCAAATTCTTCTTGTGGCGTTTGTCTTATCTCCAAAAATCTAAAGGATGGATCAGCAGCTCATTGTTCGGATTCATCAATACATCGACACCCATATATTCAGCCAAAGTATCATATATTTCAAGCATAGTTATATTTGACTTCACATTCGCAAAGTCAGGAATCACGGGTTGTTGAATTTGAGAAAAAGTATTTAGCCCCAACTGACCATTCTCTTCTCCGGGGGCCTCTTGAATTTGCACCTGATTGTTCCTGATAGCAGAGTTCCCACAACCAGATGGTAGTCCAACAAAGCTTGCAATACGGTCCTCATTAAAACCAAAGGACAATCTTGCTGCAGGTGTGCTGGTTCCTTAGGCAGATTATTTTCTGGCATTGTGTTCTCAAATTCCAAAACACCATTCCATTCACCAGCAGCCTCTTGAATTTGCACCTCAACATCATCAACTTCCATCGCTGGATTTTCAACGACATTGATAGGATGATTGATCATTCCATAATCCTCATTCCGCATAAGCGTTGTTTCAGGATCATCGTTTTCAAATAGCTCTTTGATCTTCTCTTCACCTGATGAAGCCTCTTGAATTTGCAGCATTGGTTCAACAATATTGATAGGAGTGACCTCCTTACATTCCTGATCCATCCGCGGCACAACAGAATTTACCCCTGAAATCACCTTTGTATCCATAACAGTTGTACTCACATTACTACTTCGAGAACAACTAGCAGAATTTTTTTCGGGCTTCGTTTTTATTGCACAAATACAATAATCTTTAAAATTAGAGTTTTCGAACTTTCTAAGAATAGCTTCACAAAAAGCATATTCCTTCATGAGCCACTTGCTATCATCAGGACAACACATGTTAGTATCATAATAGAGACTCTTCTTGAGCCCCATACTCAAAGACTTGTTATGTTTACTCACAACCATTTTCCCCTTATCTTGTTGCTTCCAAGTCCCAAGATTTTTACCCACAACTCTGCAAAATCTATCGTTAGTTTTCTTTTTTTTATGTCTAGGTGAAATGAAGTATCGAAAAATACTAGTGTCG